CCTCCTCCTCCTCCTCCTCCTCCTCCTCCTTCTCCTCCTCCTCCTCCTCCCTGGGGTGGCGCAAAGTCGAAATGCCGTCCTGGTGGTTCGCACCGATGGCGTCGAGGCACGCCTTGAGAAAGTAGTCCTGGCCGGCTCCCGAGCGCGCGACGGGCGCTGTGACAACAGCTCTCGCAACCATCAGGACGGGCGGCGACAACGCGGCAACGGGGCAGCGACGGCGGCAACATAGCAGGGCGTTGCAGGGCTTGGCGGCGCTTATGAACGCGTAGTCTTAGCAGGGCTTTGCAAGGCTACCTGGGAGCTCCCGAGGGCTCCCAAGTGCTTCCAGGGCTCCCGGGGAGCTCCCAGGGGCGTCGGCGGTGAACCTGGGGAGGAAGTGAGACGGGGCGGGCCCCCTGGCCTTCTGAGAAGTTTCCTGAGCCCTCCCCGAAGGCACAGAACGCCTTTCAGAAGCCCGGAGGCCTTCTGAGCGGGGGGGCGATCGCGCGCGCCCTCCCGTTCCTCTCGAGCTCATGGCTCGACCGCCTGCCGCCCCCGACCCGCGCGCCGCCCTCTTTGGCGCGGCCGGCCCCGCCCTTCCCGCTCCCAGCCGCGGGGCCGATTCCGCCGAAGTCTGCGACGTCCGCGGCGCCGGGTGCGGCGGAGGCCAAGGCCAGCGCGCTCGCGCCGCGAAGCGCAGCTGCACGGACGAGGACCGCGGGGAGAGGGGGGGGCGGCGAGGGGGGGGGCAGGGTGAGGAGCGGGGAGGGGAACGACGAAAAAAAAGAGAGGGAGGGGCAAGGAGTGGGCGGGCGAGGGCGGCCAACCGCATCAACGAGCAAAGGGGTTGGCCGAGGGCGGGGGGGGGGAAACGCGGCGCGGTGGCAAATGGCGCCGTCAGATGTTGAGCTCCGACTTGTACGCGCACGTTGGCGCCCCCCCCCTACGCCCCCACGGCCGTTTTCGTTGGCCGAGGGGCCGCTGGGCTGTGCCCCAAAACCTCCACGCCTGAACCTCCCCCCTTCCCCCCCCCCGGCCCTCCCCCTCGCGTTGATCCGCGGCGCTGAAATGCCTGGACTGGCGCCGCGGCGCGATTGGGACTCTCAGACAGCGGCCTTTTAACGGAGCGCGCCTATGAAGATCGTGCCGAACGAAAAGGGGGGATAAGGAAAGGGGGGGTTACGAAATCTGCTGCATGCAGCTGGTTTCGGCCCTGCCGCCGGGCCCACTCCTCGAGACATGGCGGCTACGTAAGCTGATTCTCCCCCCCCCGCCTTTGCTATCCCCCTCTTTCGCCCAGCCCGAGAGGAGGGAGGCAGGAGGGATGGGGCCACCGCGACATCGTCGATGCGCCTCGGGCGCCCGCTGTCCCCCTCCCCGTCCCCCTCCCATCCCGCCCCCCCCACCCCCCGCGCCCGCCCCCCCCCGCGCGGGCTGCGCGACGGAGCTCGAGGATCGTCGCCTGGGCGGAGCGGGGGGGCGTCCGCTTCTGCAGGGGTCGGCGGCCATCGCGCGCAGAAGCTCGGCGAGCTCGGCCCCGCCCAGAAGGCGGCTGAGGCGACGCCCCAGCCAATGCAGGGGGGGCTACGAGGATGGGATTTGGGAGGGGGATCGGCCAGGGGAGGCCCGCGAGCCGTGCGAGGACGACGAGGATCAAGAACGAGGACGGGGGGGGGGGTTCGAGGAGGGACGAGGGAAGAGAAGTGCAAGGAAGAGGATCTGGAGCATGCAGCATCTGAACATCAACTTCTGGCCCCCTTGGGCCGTTGCCCAGTCGTCGGGCCCGCTGGGAAGGCAACGGCCCAAGGAAACAACATCGGATGTCCACATTCCTGCCTGGTGCTGACGCTGCGAGGGCGAAGGATGGGGGAGGCCCTATCCTGCTTGAACAAACATCCCATCCCGCCTACGCGCAACTTGTCGGAGAGAACTTAGGAAGACACTCATGGCGCGGGAGGCCACGTGCACGAGGCGACAGTGCCCCATAACTGGCACCGTGAGATGCCACGAGAGCTAATCAATCGAACTTGCTCGAAGTTTTGCAACGGCACAAAGACGCGCAATCCATGCTCACGCAGATCCGTGTCTCCGACGGTGAGAGATGATGTCTCGGGCGAAACGCGGCCCGAAGGCGTGTCTAGCGCCGCCATGAACGCGATCGCCGCCCACGCAACGCTCGCGCATTTGATTATGAAGGCGCCGCGTCGCCGCACCGGATCTTGGAACACTTACGAAACGCACGCCTCGCGACAAGCAGAAACATGCACTGGATCGACGGACACAGAAACAACAAGCTCTGAGATGCGGCAGCAATAACCAAACTAGACAAGTCAAAAACACAACATCGGGTGAACATTAAGGTTGCACGAATGCATTAATTCCCCACTAAACTTTGAGAGTAAAACCGAACTAGTCCAGTAAAAGACACAACATCACTTAAATAGTAACGTTGCACACGTGCATGAATTCCCCACTGAACTTTGGATAGTGGGGGGCCACCGCGACGCAGCGGGGCTCCCCGACCGAGACCTGAGGAACGGCAACGGTCCGAAGAGCAGAGCCCCTCCTGAGCCCAAGGTGGTCCTCATCCCAGCGCTAGGTCGGGCGTGTCCCCCTACAGGCGGATTTGGAACGGAAAAAAACCAAATTCCCAAAACATACACCAAAAATATTCGGTCAACAAATCGTCCCCAGATTATTTTTGACTATGTTTGGCACTTCCCCCTGTAGAGGGACAGGCCCGACTTAATTCCAGCGTCCTAGTTGCACCCGGGTCGGGTGCTGCTGGAAGTGCCCCCTGGCCCAAGAGGTGCCCCCAGCTTCTCGCTCCACTCTGGAGCCGCGCGGGGCCCTCTGGGCCTCGCGAGGGGGCGCTCTGGAGGCCGTCTGGGCCCCCAGGGAATCATGGGGCCGCCTTGGATTGGGACACTTCTGCAGGAGCAGGAGCCACGGCACAAACATGAGCTTCTGGCGTGCCGCGCGCATCTCGTGGAGCTGCGCTGGACCCCCCCTCCCTGGCGCGCGGGCCGCGCCAGGGGCGGCGCCGGAGGGCGCCGCCGGGGGGGCCCGGCGTGGATCCGAGAAGCCCGCACGGAGCGCCAGAAGTTTAGGTTTCTCGATTCGTCGACTCCAGCAGCACCCGACGGAGCTTGACAGGAGCAAGGGGCCCCTCGCGGGAAGGCGGCGTGTTCGAAGGGGCCCTGGGATATGCAAAGAAATACACACATATACAAGGATGCCCCATCGTTTCCCAGATTTGCTGGGTTTTCGTCTTCCCCCCCACTTCCCATGTTTTCCCATATGTTCTGGGGAATCGACGATTCATTGTGTCTGTGTTGTTTTTTTTCCCCCCCCTCCTGAGTGTTGGCCGAGGGCACGGCGCCGCACCGCGCAGGCACGCAGCCCGGGGCGCGCCGCGCCCGACGAGTTAGTTGCCATGCGGGCGAGACCGCCGGGGGCCCCGGAGTTGGCCGAGGGGCCGCGCAGTGCGGAGGGATGACGACGACGACGACGACGACGACGACGACGACGACGACGACGACGACGACGACGACGACGACGACGACGACGACGACGACGACGGCGGTGGACGACGACGGTCGACGGTGGACGACGACGACGACAACGGTCAACGACGGTCGAGGGGAACTCTCCTCGCCGCCCTGGTGGCCGAGGTGTTCCGCGCACTCGTCGATGTGAGAGAAGAGGAGCTCTGCCGCCTCCCCACTCAGCACCTCGGCGGCCGCCGACGGAGGCCTCGAGCGTGACGATTTGAAAGCTACCTCCTCGCCGCGGAAGGTGGCGACACGATCAGAACAACCTGCCTGGCTCCTCAAGGGCCCTGCTGGGTTGTCCACTGGCCCCCCCCCGTGAATTGCAGTCGTTCGATGGCGCTCACAAGCCCTTTCACAGGCGCTTGCAGACGCTTACTTAAAACGAAACTGAGGGAGCATGGAATAAGGAATCCTTAGATTTGGAATCCAGGGCCTGGAAGCCCGCGCACATTCCTTAACGAACGCCCCCACCGCACTCACGGTGCCGCCAGACGATCACAAGCAACCATCAGCGCTCGCAAGCGTTCGCAGGCGCCCCCTGAAACGCTCGCAGGCGCACCACCACCCCCGAGAAACGCCCACGGGGGGGGTCCGCGGGCGTCCAGGGCGCCCACGGTAGCTTCCAGGCGATCAGAATAGTCCTCCTCCTCCTCCTACTCCTCCTCCTGCCTGAAGAGCCCGCATGCGCTCACAAGCGCCCTCAGGCGCACACTGGCGCTCACAAGGTTCCACAGGCCCCCATGGACATCCCTGGGAGCCCTCTGCGAGGAGTGCCAAGGCAGGGGGAGGTCGGCGGGGAAATGGTTCTAAGCATGTCTTAGCCTGGACCCTCTTCGAGGTCAATCCTGAGGAGATTGCGGTGGGAGGGTGTGCGGGTGGGCTACGTTCTACAGAAGCTGTCCAGATTGCTCCGCCTCCTCCTCCTCCTCCTCCTCCTCCTCCTCCTCCCGACGTGTACGTTTGATTTTCCTCGTCCTCCTCCTGATCATGCTGCTCCGTCTGATTTCGGCTCGGTTCCTGCTTTGGGTGCGCACCCTCAACACCCCCATCCTCAACCTCCTACCTCCCCCCACCATCTATCCCTCCGCATTGCCATCCTATAAAATCACATCCACCCTCTTACTCATACCCTACGTCATACTCAAAGGTCTCTCTTCCTCCTCCTCCTCCTCCTCCTCCTCCTATTTTTCCTCTTTGATCACCCCTTTACCCTCCCCCGATTCCCCTTCCCACTCCTGGTACCCACCTTACTCCTCACCCTCCTACCGTTGCTATTCCACCTTCCCCTCAGGCTACGACTCCCCCTGTTTCAGGCCCTGCGCCTGATGCAGTTCCTGCTGTGCATCATCAATCTTCAATCCCTAATCCGTGCTTCGGTGCGGATCGTCTGCGCGCCTCGTCTTCTTCGTCGTCGTTGTCGGCATCGTCGTGGTCGCGGTGCGCTGTGCTGCTCAGGATTTGTCTTCCCTTTGCGGTGACCACCAACACCCACCCTCCTCACGCTGCCTCCCTCCCCCTGGACCTAACGCAGACCATCTTCATGGTGCCTCTCTTCTGGTCCCGACCATCAGCCTGCCGCATACGTGTTATGCAACGGTTGATGCTACCCGTCTGTTTTCCCGCGCATGATCCTGCCACCGCCGCGGCTCCTCCTCCTCATTCTCCTCCTCCTCCTCCTCCTCCTCCTCTTCTTCCTCTTCCTCTTCCTCCTATCCCTCCTCCTCCAGCTCCTCCTACTCCTCCTCCTCCGCCTCCGCCTCCTCCTCCTCTACACAGTCTTCCTCCTCCTCCTCCTCCACCTCCTCTCCTCCTCCTCCTCCTCCTCCTCCTCCTCCTCCTCTCCCCCCTCGAGGATCCTCCTGCCCCCTCCACCCCTTCCCCCTCCCTCCTGATCCCCCTTCTCCCCCGCCCCCTCCACTGCCTCCTTATCCTCACTCCAGATCCCCAATCCTCCCCCTCTTTCCTCCCTTCGCTCGTCGGGCCACGCCGGTCACGGCCGGCGCGCCTCCCCGACATGGGCCACGCTGGCCGGGGACCGTTGCGGCAGGCTCGTGCCGCAGATCGACCCCGGCGCGGGTTCCCGCCACCGCGGTCATCGTTCAACCTTCCCGGTTTTTAGGGGCTCTAGGGGGGGGGAAGCCTTTACAGAAGGAGGCTGCTTTTTGGAAGGAGCCCGCCTCACATCTACAGACAAGGCCCCGCGCCTTCCCAGGAGCAGCCTCCTTCTAAGAAGCCGTCCCCCCTCCCCCCCCCTCCTCCGCGTGGCCGACGTTTCGAGCAACGCCTCCGTCGTCAGTTTGCAGGCGACAGGGGGGTTCTCGACATGGCGCTCCAGGTCCCGCGCGGGGCACTTCGAGAGACGCATCCGTCGACAATATACCTTGAACGATCGGCCGATTTCGAAACGTCAGGTCGTTCAACATCGACCGGTTCTGGGTCGCTGGTAGCGCTCAACGCTGAATGCCGGCGGCGGGCTCGCCACCAGTCGACACGACGCGACCCTGCCGTGGCCAACGTCGCTGAAGCGTCCCGGTCAGCATCATGAGATGTTCCAATTAATAATCAGAACATGTTCAACAATTGCTCACCAGATGGTCAACGGACTATATTTTTCCTATAACTCCTCCTGTGGAGGGACAAGCCCGACTTGAGGTTAGCCTCAGAACCCAACTCCCCGTCGCCCAACGTCGCTCCCCCGTGCCCAGAACCTCTGCGGCCGAGAGCACTTGCCCGTCGTGCCGACTCGGCGGCCCCGGCGACACGCTGTCCCTTGAGAGAGCGGGTGGCGCGTGTCGCTCCGCTCCGCAGGGTGGGAGGCTCGGAGAAGCTCGGGACGCGGACGCCTGGGGACCGGGAAGAGGGATGCAGTCGGGGCGTTGACCCAAGGAGCCCTAAAGAAGGAACGAGGCACCTTTCTCCCATAAGCGAAACTTGGACGTCCCGTGGAAAACCGGAGGAAAACCAAAGGCACACAGTAAACCAATCAAGGAACACCGAGCCCCTCCCCAACAAAAAAGGTTCCTTCTTCAGCGCCCCGTAGGAGGAGGAGGAGGAGGAGGAGGAGGAGGAGGAGGAGGAGGAGGAGGAGGAGGAGGAGGAGGAGGAGGAGGAGGAGGAGGAGGAGGAGGAGGAGGAGGAGGAGGAGGAGGAGGAGGAGGAGGAACGCGCTATCCACAGGCTCCCGACCGCGAGCGCGAGCAAGGGGGCCCGAGCGGGCCTGCTGGGCGCCCGGGGTGCCAGAGGGGCTCGGTGCCCGCGGGAGGCTCTAGTGCGAGACGCCGCCGGTCGGGCCAGTCCTCCTGGTCCTTCTCCTGCTTCTGCTCCTGCCCCTTCCACTATTTCTTCCACTGCTTTCTTCGACCTCCCCCGTCCGTTCCTCCGCCTCCGCCTCCTGGTCCTCATCTAGCTCCTCCTTCTCCTCCTCCTCATTGCCGTCCGCCCCCTCCTTCCCTCCCACTCGTTCCCCTTCTTCTTCCCGTTCTTACAGTTTTAGCATTCCTGGTTCTGCTCATCCTGGACCTGGTACTGCTGCGAATCCCTACCCAACTCCTCCTCCTGCTTCCGCTGCTACTCCTGCTGCTGTTCCTTCTCCTCCTCCTCCTCCTCCTCCTCCTCCTCCAGTTCGTTCTCCTCCTCCTCCTCCTCGTCCTCATCCTTGCCCTCGTCCTCGTCATCCTTTCCCTTGTCCTCGTCATCCTTTTCCTCGCCCTCGTCATCACTTTTTCTCGTCCTCGTCATCCTTTCCTCCTCCTCCTTCTCCTCCCTCCTCCTCGTCATCCTTTTCTTCGTCCTCGTCCCCAGCCCTTGGGCCCCCGCCCCCCCCCCTCCAGCGGCACTGTTCCCCATTCCCCCATTCCTCTTCCTCCTGTGCCCGCGCATGCCCCTCCTCCCCTTCCCCGGTGTTCCGGCTCCGTGCCGACATGCGGCCCGCTGCGACACGAGCCGATGCCCCGAGCCGATGCGCGTGCGATGCACCGTCGCCCGGCTCCGCTGGGTCCATCCTGGACCCAGGGTCGGTGCGACACCGTCCGTGACGTGGCCAGCTCCGTGCCAAGGCAGCCCGATCCGATAGCCGATTCTCCGATCCGAGACGCGCGTGACGCACCGTCGCGAGGGTAAGAACCGCAAAAGGAGACTTGTGGCTTCACGCGCGCGCGCGCCAGGCATGTCGCAGCAGGGGCCCCGGCACCGCGACTGTCACGCGGGCGCCCTCCAGTAGGACCGCACCCGAGATCTCTTCCTGGCCACAGGTGCAGTCGGACCTAGGACAGAAGAGCATCCTTCAAGAGCATAAGACCCTCCGCCAACCCAAATAGAACACTTTCGAGGGTAACCCCCCTGGATGTACAAGGACATCCAACAAACGAACCGACCTCGATCCGACTGTAGTGCGATTGCAGACGCCTGGGCCAGGTTCGCGGCGGACCGTGCGTTTCAACGCGCTGTGCAACCTGTCCCCGCCAGCGGCATCTGGAACGCCGCGGCCGCCCTGGTCCGGGGGAGAGGCGGCGATTCCCAAGACCGTCGGCCCTGCTGCCGAACTTCGAGGCGTGTGGCCTCAACGGTCCTCTCCTCCCCCGCCTCCCTCCTCGAGGCTCCATCAGGCCCCCTCGCAATCCCAGCACGAGCTCCAGAGGTGTAGGGATACATGGGGAAGCTCAAGCTGTGACCAATATTTTGATTATATTTCCGCGCTGGATGCGGCAACCACCCCTTGTGAGCCGCTCGAGCTGGCCAGGAGCTTCTCAGGCTCTGTCTTCCCGTGCCGTGGTCAGTTGACCATCGAAGGTCGCACCACGCATCCATCCAATTGATTGTGCGCATGGCGTGGTGGTCAACTTTGTGTTTGCGCTCAGTGTGGCTATAGTCCATACGGCCACGCACCATTTTCTCAAGTTGGCCGATCACTGCCCAAGTGCGCCGTCGCCTCACAACAATGGCAATAACGCAGATCAGAACACTTATTTCCAGTATCCGGCTTCCGGAGACTTGGGGCCTCTGGGTGTGGACTTACTGCAGCCCTCGCCGCTGAGCCAACATATGACGCTACAGTGCACAACTGAATAGCATACTTGTTTGCTACTCCACCACCTACCTCTTCCTACCAGCCTTACCCAACGACGTGCTCATTGCAGGAATGAAATTACGCGAAGCTGCTTTGAAATTGGCAGACGCTCCGC